ATATTTAACAAATTAAGCATAAAAAAATGTTTCATTGATGGCAAATTCAAAATAATTATTGTTTTCTCTATCCAGAGATCAACATTTATGTTTAAATGGGAAACTATAGATTTAAAGAATATCTTTTCCTAATTTATGAGTATTCTATATTTGGCTATTTCAGAAACATCAATTTATAAATACACAAGCCTTTCTTAAATATTTTATTTTTGGAATAGTTTTGAAATAAATTCTGAATGCCATCTTCTCTAAAGGATATACAGTTCCTGAGAATTAGCAAAATGATTTTATCAGCAATAACATTCTTGACCCTATAGTTAGGCAACTGTTCATATTTTCAAAAATATGAGCTGATCTGTTGCAAGCCTGTAAACCAGAATCGGAACCCCTCAGCCCCTGTGCTGGTTGATGGACACTACTTCTCCAAGCCTAGATACCTCTAAGCCTCCTTAAGCTTTTGTAATTTCAGGGTCATTGCAAAGTAACTTTTCTCTTGTTAGTTTTAAACATATCCTTTGACTGGAACTTTTGATTTCACGAGTATATTGCCTTATCTCCTTGCTTTATTGTTTGATTCAAAATTTTGTCTTGCCTTTACCTGGATTCCTTTCTGCAGTGACATAAAGAAACTCTTGCTTGATCCAGAGTTCACTCTCTTGCAGAGGTGCCTGCTTGTGTCAAGGTAACACTGTTTGAAGTATTCCGTATAAGAGAGAGAATTTCAGGTTAACTCCTTTCTCTTTCTAAGGGCTTTTAGTTTCAACCAAACCTAGATTTTAGAAAAATATATCAGTTCATCCTTTAGAATTGACTTAGAATTAATTTTGAGAGTAGTAACACAAATAGAGAAAAGAACAAGGTTACATTTTAAATGTGAAATCCAGGCCTTCTCTATTGCAAGGACTCCCTCTTTCAGACAGCTCTTTAAGATATGTTTTAAAATATCAGACACAAATAGTATGTGTTTAAATATANAGTAAGCACTTTGTGTTTTATTAGAAGATAACAGTGTAAGAAAGAGAAACTTAATAAATTCGGCTTTTTAAAATTAAAATACATTATGTTTAGAGTATTAGTGGTCCAAGGAGAGACTGTTCTGTTCACATGGGTTTGTTTCTCTTTAGAATCTTTGTCTTGTAGAAAAAGTACTAATTTAATAGTGGTAATAACAGAGCATCTATCTTCCAAGTTCATAAGGATCAGACTGCTCTGGTCTCATGTTAGGGAAGGACTAGAAGCTGTGGTGTGAGCATCCGTGTCTGCCTCCACCACGAAGCCCTGTGAGGCTTTATGCTAGAGGACACACGCAGGGTGATGATTTTGCATCTGCGTGCCTCTGCTAAAATGAAGTCTCTGTGTCAGGTGCTATGTCTGCACGGTTCTGGCTGAGAAATTAATATGTTCCCTAGGGCAAAAAGCACTTAAAAGTAGCTGTTGGGAATAATACTGTAAAAGAAAGAGAAAAATATGGGTCCACAGGAGTTCTTGGTAAAACATTTTTTCACAGTCTAGCGCCTATCACATGTAATTATA